TTTCTTTCTTTCTTTCTTTCTTTCTTTCTTTCTTTCTTTCTTTCTTTCTTTTTTTTTGAGATGGAGTCTTGCTCTGTTGCCCAGGCTGGAGTGCAGTGGTGCGATCTTAGCTCACCATAATCTCTGCCTTCTGGGTTCAAGTGATTCTCCTGCCTCAGCCTCCCGAGTAGCTGGGACTACAGGTTTGTGTCATGATGCCTGGCTGATTTGTGTATTTTTAGTAGAGATGGGGTTTCACTATGTTGGCCAGGCTGGTCTCAAACTCCTAACCTCATAATCCACCCACCTCAGCCTCCTAAAGTGCTGGATTGCAGGCGTGAGCCACCGTACCTGGTGACAGGTCATATTTCTTAAAGTTTAGCTGCTGTAGAGACATTTATAGCAAAGTAAAAAACTTGAAATGTTAAAGAGTAAATTTTTTCTTCTTTTTAGAGTTGGGGTCTCACTATGTTGTCCAGGCTGGTCTTGAACTCCAGGGCTCAAAAAATCTGCCTGCCTTATCTTCTCAAAGTGCTCAGATTACAGGTGTAAACCACCATGCCCAGTCCAGATTAAGTTTTTAATTACTGCCTTATTATACTACATATAAATATTTAAAATGTCAATCTTGGGCTGGGCATGGTGGTTTACTCCTATGAGCATCTGAAATCTTTTTTTTTTTTTTTTTGAGACTGAGTCTCGCTCTGTCACCCAGGCTGGAGTGCAGTGATGTGATCTCGGCTCACTGCAACCTCCACCTCCTGGGTTCAAGCAATTCTCCTGCCTCAGCCTCCTGAGTAGCTGGGATTACGGGTTTGCGCCACCATGCCATGCCTGGTTAATTTTTTTATTTTTTAGTAGAGATGGGGTTTTGTTGTGTTGGCCAGGCTGGTCTCAAACTCCTGACCTCAGGTGAACTGCCCACCTCGGCCTCCCAAAGTCCTAGGATTACAGGTATGAGCCACCACGCCTGGCCAAGCATCCTAAATCTTAAAATCTAAAAATCTGAAATGCTTCAATGAGCATTTCCTTTGAGCATCATGTGGGTTCTCAAAAACTTTTGGATTTCAGAGTATTTTGGATTTAGAATTTTTAGATTTGGGATGCGCAACTGTATAAACACACTAGTTGGTTTTCTAACAACTAATTATCAGAATGAGAATCCTTTCATGAATAACACATTTTATTTTCTACTAATCAAGTGGTAAAAATAAACAAGGCTCATTTGATATCCACTACTCTAAAAAGTTTAAAATGACTTAAAAAGTATTTTTATAGCTTATACAACTATACTTTCTATAAAAAATGAAAGAACTTCATTCTTCAAACAATACTTTGTTCATATTTATTTAAAAAAAATTTAAAAATATTTTAAATGTTGCGTAGAGACAGGGTCTCACTATGTTGAGTAGGCTAGTCTGCTGGCCTCAATGATTCTCCCACCGAGGCCTCCTGAAAGTACTGGGATTACAGGTGTGAGCCACTGCAACCCAACCAGACAGTACTCTAAATATTTACTTCATTTGCCTCTTCTACTTTGTCTAGGGCATGCACAGTAGAAATATCGATTTTTAAAAATTGGTATCTTAATTCTGAAGCAAAAAGCATTCTGGTATTATTTTTAAAATGTGTCAAAGTCCATACCTGATTTCTTAATGATGAAAGAATGTATTCCTTTTCATAATGGGAAATTCTCTTGTGTGTTTGTGGTGTGTCACTAACTAACCAGATCCACAAAAGAAACCAAAATATTCCAACAGCACCTTAAAATTGAAAAATAATCATTAGATAAAATTAGAATGTAACAAAAGACAAAACAAAAACACAAAATTAGAATGTACCAATAGCAGTTTTTACATGTCTTGAAAACATTCTGTAACTATAAAATCAACGTAAAACTAACTTCAGTTTGGATTCAGGTTTTTCTCAATTCTTTAATGGGATAATTGCTATAATTGTGCTACATTTTGAAAAAATTTTATTTATTTATTTTTTGAGACAGAATCTTACTCTGTTGCCCAGGCTGGAGTGCAGTGGCTCTATCTTGGCTTGCTACAACGTACTCCTCCTGGGTCCAAGCAACTCTACTGTCTCAGCCTCCTGAGTAGCTGGGACTACAGCACGTGCCACTGCACCAGGCTAATTTTCGTATTTTTAGTAGAGACGGGGTTTCACCATGTTGGCCAGGTTGGTCTTGAACTACTGACCTTGTGATCAACCTGCCTTGGCCTCCCAAAGTGCTGGGATTACAGGCATGGGCCAACATGCCCGGCCAGAAGAAAACAACTTTTAACTACATGACTTTGCCTACCAGGGTCTACCAGACAAACTTTTTTGAAGATACATTTCCACAATCTACATATTTCCAAAGGTGTCTGTTTTTGTAAGATGATTTTTAAATTTTGATTGCAGATATACTTCTTGCATGACACATCCATGTGAAAAGTTAATTTATTAAAAATGTGTATCATGCTGCCAATGAAATTGAGAAATAAAATGCCTTGGGACTAGATAAAAAGAAAAAAAAAACATTAAAACTACCAAGTGAGAACATCCTACTTTGCTTGAGAAGAAATTGAAAATATCCAAGACAGTGATTTTTTTTTATAGCAAATGTGTGTCCAGGATCAACAGTCGTTAGAAATTCTACTGAGAAATATTCCAAAACTAATATCAGGTCATAACTCAGATAGGTCAAGCTGACCATACTAACTTGAAAAACAGGTTATCAGCAAGTGTTTTAGAACTTTGAGGTTTGGTGATTTGGAATGTATATTTTTAACAAATTATTAGGCTACTATTATATTTTTGTTTGTTACATTATAATTTAGTTAAAATTTTAAACTTACCAAAAAAGTAGAAGACATAAGTCCAATTCATATAGTAGCAAATTATTCCAGAAAGAGGAAGAGAAATTACTGTCCCAAGCTGTGCTCCTAGAACAACACATAAGACTGTATAAACTTTGGAGAGAGAGAAACAAAAATAGGACAGACAAGTCTACTGCTTACAGAGGAGGGGTAACAGGCTGGGCACAGTGGCTCATGGCTGTATTCCCTGCACTCTGGGAGGCTGAAGTGGGTGGATCACTTGAGTCTAGGAGTTTGAGACCAGCCTGGGTAATATGGCAAACTCCTACCTCTACTAAAAATACAACAGTTATCCAGGTGTGGTGGTGGCACATGCCTATGGTACCAGCTACTTAGCTACTTGGGAGGCTGAGGATCACTTGAGCCTGGGATGTTGAGGCTCCAGTGAGCTGTGATTGTGCCACTGCACTCCAGCCTGGAGTGAGACCCTGTCTCAAAAACAAAAACAAATGCAAACAAAAAAAGGCTATAATTTGGTCCCGTAGAAACAAGATTAGAAAAAAGATAAAGAGTTAGTATAGCAGGACAAGCAAAGGAATGGAAGTAGGAAAGCAGACAGTAGGCTTGGGAACGTCCTTTGGGTAAAGGAAAGGAAAAGAAAAATAGATAAGGCTGAAAAAATAGGTTGAACAGTCGAACGGTTACTGAGTACCTACTCCATGCTAGGCACTACGTGCCAGAGATATAAGGCTAGCTGCAACAAAGTAGTGAAGACTGTAAAGAATCCTGTCCCTCGTTCAAGGAGTTTGGGATTTATTCAATAGGTAAAGGGGAACCTTAGATAGCACCTTTTCTTGAATCTATCATCAGATTTCTCATGTCAATCTCCACATAGTTGTAAGAATAATTTTCTTAAAATGTAACTGAATCATGCCTCTTAAAAAAAAAAAACTACATTATTTCCTGTATCCTGTAAGACCTCATATAACCCGGCTCTTGTCTCTTTCTCTAATCTCATTTTATGCCATTATCCTCCTTACTTACTGAGTTCTAGCCACCCACAGTAGTTTTCCATTTCTTTGAACCCTTATGTTATTTCTTGCCTGAGAGCCCTCATACATGCTGTTCTGACTGGCTGAAGTGCTCTTCTCCCTGCCTGACTGGTTTGATCTTATCCTTCAGATTTTAGCTTAAAAGTACCACAGAGAGGCCTTTTCTCAACTACTGTTTTAAAAAAGCAGTCAGGTGGAAAAATTTCAGTCAATGAAAGAAAGGCTAGAATTTCTTGTTATCTCACCTGCAGATCAAAATGATGGCAAATAAAGATGCATCGAAAAAAGATGCATGAAGAGAGGGGCTGAGAATCATGATACATTCATTAGATAATCAAAAGAGAAATCACAGTTTAAGGACAAAAACATTCCATTTTCTAGCTTCTGGCCTTTTCTTTTTTTTTTTTAATAACATCTCCAAACAAACAAAAATAAATTTAAAAAAACAAAAAACGTAAACAGAAAAAGAAAAAAAAAATAGCAGCTTTACACCGATATCTGAAAAGGCAACACATTTTGAAATAAATGATGGTAGACGGGGAAAATGACAGTCAATTAAGCCACATTACTACAAGCTGCTGAGCCAAAGAGAAAAATTGGTAATAAAGTTATACTACTGAAACTTAAGTTTCTCCCCAGAGGGGCATCCAATCCAACATTGCATGATTCTGGTATGCAGGTACTTTTTCCCCAAGGGTGATATATACATAACACATTACAGCAAAATTCAATAATAGTTATCTCACCTGCATATGAAATGCTAAGAAGCTTGCTTCTTTCAAGAGGGGGAGCCCAAGAAGACCACATGGCATGCATGGCTGGAAATGTGACACCCTGAGAGAAGTGAACATGATATTTCTGATGAAATACAAGGTAGTTTTGTTAATGTTTTAAAGTAAGTTATGTATTTTGCTGCAAAAGCATTATCTGGATAAGAATCAAACCTGAATCAGGTTCCATGAAGTGAGACATTTTTACAGTGTTAAGTGAAAATATCTTATAATGAAGTACTTTCAAAATTTGAGGGCTGGGTATGGTGGCTCAAGCCTGTAATCCCAGTACTTTGGAAGGCCAAGGGCGGAGGATTATTTGAGCCCAGGAGTTCGAGATCAGCCCGGGCAACATAATGAGATGCCATCTCTTAAAAAAAAGTAAAAATTCCCAAAGATTCATGGATTTTGGAACCGGTTTGAAGATAATAAGAAAAGGGTTACAGTAAATCTAAAAGAATTGTACTGAGTGAGGACATAAAGGGATCATGCTCAAGGTTAATTTTTCTCATTCACTTTATTGATCACCTGAATGAAAAGGGAATACTACTAACTTATAACTTTGAAAAACTCTGAGCTAATACTTTGGGATACTGAAAAAAATTCGAGCTGACAATTAACAGGCATGTTTACAGCCATTTTTCTTTTTTTACTGTGATAACAAGCCTAGTAAATGACAATTACTGATACAGAGAGGTAATGGGATGTGGAAGCAGGAGGTTTGCAGAGATTGGGTAAATGAGGAGATAGCACAGGAGAGTGGGAGAGAACAGCTGTCCTTGGACACTCTCTGTGTCACTTCAGGAAGATCAGTTAACCTCCTTGAACTTCAATTTCTTTATCTGTAAAACAGAGATAATACTCCCAATCTTGCATAATTGTTGTAAAGATAAATGGTAGCTATTGTCATTTTTAGTGGAGAGAATAATAAATGTTTTAATACTTTGTACTTCCTGCTGACTCTTTCAAAAACAAAACAAAGGAATTAAAAAAAAAGTAATACCAATAGAAGGCAAAGATGATTTAGGTACATTGCTAATCAATAAGAATCTATATCATGGAGTATCCACAGGATGAGTCATTCTAGAAGAAAACTGAAGATGTTTGGAAATGCCCACAGATATTATGTTGTAGAAAACTTTATTATAAAACCTAGGGACAATGTAGGTATATTTATCATGAATTAGGTGGTAGGAATGAGAGACGGTAATCTAAGTGTCCTTTATAAATGAGGAAATGTACCTGCGATATATATTGGAAGGATGAAGAAGGGCGAGAGAACCCAAATATAAACACAACTTAAATTCGATTTAGAAATAAAACGTTGGCTGGGAGTGATGGCTCATGCCTGTAATTCCAGCACTTTGGGAGGCCAAGGCAAGTGGATCACTTGAGGTCAGGAGGTCAAGACGAGACTGGCCAACATGGTGAAACCCTGTCTCTACTAAAAATACAAAAATTAGCCAGGCATGGTGGCAAGTGTAATTCTAGCTACTGAGATCCCAGCTGAGGCAGGAGAATCGCTTGAACCTGGGAGGCGGACGTTGCAGTGAG